CTTTTTAGTTCCAGCATTTCAGGGTTTTTTCTTCAATGTTTCTGTCTCTTTGTTGAAGTCTTCTTTCATATAGCTCATCGCATTCCTTATTTTATCCAGCTGTCTGTGTCTTTGCACATATAATCTCTATTGTGAGTTCTCTGAGATTTCGTCTAACTGACTCTCACTAGATGCCATTCCTTTAAGGTTAATAATTTTTGGAAGAGCTGTGCATCTTGTTTTTTTTTTGTTTTGTTTTATTTTTTCATGTGTCTTATGTTACTGTGTTGGTATTTATGCATCTGGTGTTATTTTGTTGCTTGGTTTATTTTTTTTAATCAGTTATATTCCTTCAGTTGAAGTATTTGCAGTGTTCAGATGGGACTTGGATGAGCATATAATTGAGAAAATAATTCCTCAGTCTAGGAGCTCCGAGTACCTGGTGTAAGCTCGATATTAGTCTCTGAGTAGGATATTCCCTGAGAATGCAAGCACAGCTGCTTGCTGTCACCTCTCTGCAAATGTTGTAGTGGTCGATGGATCAGAGTGCCCCCCATGAGGCATGTATGCAAGCATGAAAATTAAATAATAGAAAACAAGAAACAAAAGATACTTGTGAGTGGGAGGCTGGCGCAGCTGTGCTGAACTGAAAGATGAAGTTCACAGACCCCCCCTGACTCTACAAGGTTCGATACCCTGCTGTGTGAAGTGGAGAGAGTGGAAACCCCTGGTCTTTGCAGCCTGTGTTCCTGGGGTTCTGGTATACGGGGAGCATGGAGGTTCAGAGTGCTTTCCTGATAGTTTCCTTGGACCCCTGAACCTCCCTGTCTCCATTTATTTTTTGAGGCAGGATCTCTCAGTAAACCTGGAGCTTACCATCTCACCTAAACTGGATAACCAGAGTCCAGGCTCTGTCTGTCCCTGCCCCAATCCACTTTGTCTAGTGCTGAGGTTACAGATGCGCATCGCTGCACCCAGCTTTTCCCGTGGGTCCCAAGGATCTGAACTCGGATCCTCATACTTGTGCATCAAACACTTTACTGTGAGCCATCTTTACACGCCTAACCCGGCGCTAGAAGATGATCGTCCCTAATTGAGGGAGAAAAAAATCTCAGATGAAGTTACTAGCATTGGCTGCATTTTGTACTTGAAGAAAGTGAATTTTAAGTTAAGAAACTCTCTTAAGGCCATCCCAGCTACAGGACGCTGAGCTCTGAGAAACACTACGTGGATAAAAATGCTTCAACTTTACACTATAGTGCCTCTTTAGGCCTGGGAGTTTCCAGTTTTTCTAATTTTTATTGACTCTATCCCTAACCATCCCCTTCAGCAAGGACTTGCTCTGCTTAAAACACTGCTGCACGGGGAGTTGTAGTTTGGGGCAATTTTGAGGAGCTTTGAGAGCCAGTTTGATGGGGAATTGGCTCAGGAGGAGTTCCTGAGCCTGAGAAAGCCCTGTCAAGAAGGGTGGGCAGGAGACACTTAGGCCAGAGATGGGACAGGACAGCAGGCTAAGTGTGAGGGACAGAAGGACTGAAGGGAGGGAGTGGGAGTGAGAAGGAAAGAGAAGCTGGATGCGACAGACAGACATTACCTCACCAAGAACACATACTCCCGAGGCTGGAACTCAGCTTAATAATTCTGTTACTAGGGCAACAGTAAAAGAACCTATCTCCGAGAGAACCCAGCAGAGAGTGTGTGTGCACCCGAGTACGGAGGCTCCGAGTTGGGAAAATAGGGGGAAGCAAGTGGCCAAATAATGCAGCAGGAGGGCCTGGGACATCATAGGGCATTTCCTTGGCCTTTGCCCTCTAAATCACAGAGAACAGAAACATCTGAAACTGACTTGGTGGGAAGGTAGCCAGCAAGATCCACAAAGTAGAAACCGTCGAGCCTCATGACAGATCACCAGTTATAGACCTAATATCTAGGCCAATCTAAGGACACCCAGAAGAGGAGGTCACCTTCCTCATCTGCCATCATGGGAGCTCTCACATAGAAAAGTTCCTTTGAGGACGCATGCCTGGCAACATAGGCAAAACATCACAAAGCTGACCACTGACTCAGTCTGCCTCCAATTTGATATCACTGGAACCTTTAATGTCTTAAAGTTCATTCCAGCCTCTTGAAGGAGGGCAGTGTGGGAAAATCCATCCATGCAAAGAGGAGTCCTAAGCACCACTTAAGATGCAGTCGATGCTCTGCTCTGTATAAGGCCCCTGGTGGGGTAAGCCTTCTTCCTATGGCCAGGGGAACCAGGGTGCTCTCTTGCCCATCAAGGGTATCCGGACAAGACAGCCTTGGCATTTGACTTCCCTCTTTCATACCCAGCCCAGTGAGAAAAGAACAGCCCTTCAAAGACATTAGGAAAACTGAGACACCAAGACTCACCAGACTCAAGCAAAACGAGCATTATCCTTTCTAGACTCCAAATCAAATGCACACTTGATGCCTGCTCACAGAACCAGACAGAGGAAGCCCCACCTAACATCCGCCAGCCACTCTTCGGCTTAAAGTTCTTGTCTTTTCAAAAATCTTTCTTGAAGGATGCCAATGGGAAATATGCAGGACTGATCTGCTTTTTCAGTCCCCCTCTTGCGTATGATTTCCTAAGCCTATGTAGGGACTAGATCTCACCTAAGGTCTACTCTACACAGAGATTTGTATTGCCTTAGATTTCAGTTGAGTATTACTTTGGAGTCAGGGTGGTGGGGCAGCCACCCCTGGGTTACAGAGAGATTCCTACCAGGGCAGTTATGCACCACGTAGACAACCGTTTTCCCAGTGGACACAGCATGTTCTAGATGATCCCGGAAGGAATCCTGCCCTAGGGAGGGTGAGGGCTCTACAGGGAAACAGAGTCACCCCAGTCACTGCTAAGCTTATTATCATCTCTGAACTCCTTTTCTTTCCCTCTTTTAGACATTTTTGGAGGGTTGGGGGGGGGGGGGCGGGTGTCAAGATAGGATCTCACTCTACAGCCCAGCCTGGCCTTAAACTAGCAGCAGTCCTCCTGCCCCAGTCTCCTGAGTGCTGGGCTGCATACACGAGTTAGCATGTCCGGCTTACCACTCCTTCTCTGAGTGAACAAATTGGTTTTCCTTTTAGTTTCTCCCCCTACACAAGAAAGATCATTGACTGAATAGTCTCAAAGCTTGCTCTAAGAAGTTAACGGGAGGTGGGTGGGGCTGAGGATGTGGCTCAGTTGGTAGGGGGCTCACCTATCATTCATGAAGCCCTGGGGTCTATCCCTAGCACCACATTAAACCCAGTACTTAGGAAATGGAGGCAGAAGGATCAGAAGTTCAAGGCCAGCCTCTGTTTGGTCAAGGCCAGCCTGAACTACAGAGACTTTGTCTCCAAAAAACAAACAAAAATAAATAAATAAATAAATAAATAAATAAATAAATAAATAAATAAATAAATAAGGCTAGCAATAGAACTTAGTGATGGAGTGCTTTCCTAGCATAAGGCTCTAGGTTTAATCCCTAGCACCACAAAAAAAAAAAAAAAAATCAAATGAATAACAACAAAAAAGAACAACGTCAAGGATAAACAATGTCATAGGCCTTCTGAAAGACAGAGAGCCCCAGCGTATAAATTAGTCACAATCAGAACCAGTGGCCTGATCCGGGAGGTCAATTTATTCCACAGAACTAATGAAAAATACAGTGAATGCTCAGGGCACTTTTGGATGGTGTGGTTGGTAGTTGAGGCTTCTGCCAGTTCTTGTCACTGGTTTGTTCTGTAACTTTGAGTGTTGGCACCCCTTAGAGTCTGTTTCTTCATTTATAAGATGGGATCGTACTACAGGACTCACTGGATGGCTAGAAGAGCATGTACCTGAAGCTGATAGATGGTAAAAAGCAGTTACTGTCCTTTCAACAACCCTAGAAAGGCAATGTCCATCACCCTCTCACCAAAGGGGAGACTTATGCCCACAGAAGGAAGCATTGGTGTACACCCAAGTCACTAAATAAAATCTTCTGTTGGTTTTTCAAGACAGTTTCTCTGTGTAGCCTGACTGTCCTGGAACTAACTCTGCAGACCAAGGTAGCTTCAGACTTGGAGATCCACCTACTTCTGTCTCCCAAGTGCTGGGATTAAAGGTGTATGCCCACCACCACCCAGATCAATAAAATCTTCTCCCAAAGCTTACATTATACAGGCATCTCCCACACTGAAATCTACAAGGCACCTGGAAAACCAAGCCATCTCTCCCTGACAGCGGTAAGTCACACCCTCACTTTTAAATCTGTCTTAGTTAGGGTTTCTATTGTCTAAGAGACAGCATGACCGCAGCAACTCTTATAAAGGAAAATATTTAATTGGATGGCTTACAGTTCCAGAGTTTTAGTCCATTATCATCATGGCAGGACATGGTGGCGTGCAGGCAGACATGGTACTGGAGAAGGAGCTGAGAGTGGAGAAGGAGTTTCATCTTGATCCTGCAGGCAACAGGAAATGGTCTGAAACAATGGGCATGGCTTGAGCATATATGAGACCTCAAAGCCTACCTCCAGAGTGACACACTTCCTCCAACAAGACCATACTTACTCCAACAAAGCCACACCTCCTAATAGTGCCACTCCTTAAGAGCTTATGGGGCCAATTTCATTCAAACTACCAAGAACACATGGTACAAAGAACCATCTGTTCTGAGCTGGAAGTGGGATCCAATTCTTCCACTAAATCTTGTATGCAGTTTTGAGGCTTCCCCTTGGTCACCTCTGGATAATGAGTGCTGCGGAACTGCACAATATGGAGGAATCCTAAAAACAAAAGCATTCCTGGGGAGCACAAGAAATTGGAGTGAGTTCCTCCAACCTCTCCTCTTAAGGTTTGTCTCCTAAGTGGGGAACTCAGGCAACCTTGAGGGAAAAGGTGATGGTAGTTTATACCAGCTGATACTAAAAACAGACCCAAGGTATATACAGACAACTGTATAATACTGATGGGCCTGGGCCCTAACCCTCCCAGCATGCTTTGGGACTTCTTTCTCTTTTCCACACTAACCTTATTTGTTTTCACCTGCTTTTCTCGTCACCGCCCCATGGTCCCAGGCTCCCTGAGAGGACTCTGTTGGAGAAAGGCTGGACAAGCTCAAAGTCTGGGGTGAACTGTATGTCCTAAGTGGCTCTCATACTTCTTTAGATATGAACACCTGTTTAGCTGCTAGGAAAGAAAAAACAATATTGGCCTGCGCACCACTGGTTGATAACTCCATGTGGGCCCTCAATTGCGCCCACTCACACTTTTAATAAAATGGCACGTATGTTCCTCATTGCTCTTTTCTTCTCAGGCAAATATAAGCATCACCAAGTCAGCTTCCCTTACCACCTGAAGCAAGGCAGCTACGCAGAATTCTCAGTAGTAAGAACGTAAGAGCTGCTTACCTGTGTAAGCGCTTGACTTGGCGGTAAGCATCTAGTGTCGGCCCTCTGCTTTCACAGCTGCCTCTTGTGGACGTTTTAAACACACCCGTGAGGGCCCTTAGCAGCCTAGCTTGTCAGTCACATCCCCTCACTCTGAGAGAAGGTCCGCATCTCAGAAATGCCACTTTGTCATGGGTCACCTTGCCCTGTTGTCCGACAGAAGCTGCCTTTTAGTCCACCCGAGAGCCACTGGAGATTTTCTGGCACCAGGAAGGGACCATTAAGCTGGGAATGCTCCATCAGATAAGAGTTAAAAGCAGGACCCAGGCCGTGACCACTCATCTCCTGGAAGGATGGCCCCTGGCTACCTAAGGGGCAGAGGTGGGCTGGTGAGAGACACACACTGAGAGGGCAGCCCAGCTGTGGCTGGGGTTGTCAGCAGCTCTCTGGGGAGAGGATTCTGTTTCTGCAGCCGTGTGGAGGGCTTCCCGGTACACTCCCGGGGTACACTCGGAGGATACACTCTGGGGGTACACTCTCTTGGCCCCACAACTCTTCCTCATTGTTCTTCACTCAGCACCTGTAACTTTTCCACCATGAAAGAGGTTTAGAAGTTCTACAGAGATTTATAAATTTTCGAGCCTACCTCCCTAAATAGATATAAGAAGAAGAAAAATAGAGCCCAGAGAAGTTAAGCAACTCAGCCAGCGGCAAACAGCCTGATCTAGACTGTCCAAAAGTGGGATCTAAGAAATAATTGTCACAGAAGGTATATTTTTTTGAGAAAAAAAAAACCCTAAAGTTCACAGACAAGAGAATTTAAGAAATAATAATTGTCTATTCACCGTTATCTGTGCTATTTATTCTCCCCCCCCTCTCTCTCTCTCTCTGTGTGTGTGTGTGTGGGGGGGGGGGTTGGTTTGGGTTTTGGGTTTTGGGTTTGGGGTTTTGGGTTTTTGGTTTTTGGTTTTGGGTTTTGGTTTTGGTTTTGGTTTTGGTTTTCAAGACAGGGTTTCTCTGTGTAGCTTTGGAGCCTGTCCTGGATGTCGCTGTGTAGACCAGGCTGGCCTGGAACTAACTCACAGAGATCCATCCGCCTGCCTCTGCCTCCCAAGTGCTGGGATTAAAGGCTTGTGCCACCACTGCCCGGCCTTACCTTGTTTTTGGATACAGGATCTCAGTCACCTGGGACTTACTGAGTGGGTGTGCTAGGCTAGCCAGCCAGCAATCCCCAGAGATCCACTGTCTTTGCCTTCTGAGTGCTGGGATTCCGAGTTTTTGAACATGGGTTCTGAGGACTAAACTAAGGTCGCTGGAATCGCATGGCAAGTACTTTCCTGGCTGAGCCATTTCCCCAGCCCTCTAACAACATTGACTCTGCTATCAAAATGAACGCGTTTAGGAAGCAGGTCTAACCTCTCACAATCACAACGCACCCGTGAGTGTTGAGGCTTCAGGACTAGAAACTGCACAGCTACCTAAAACAAGAAGAATGACTGAGGTCGACCATTCCAGGGAGTGAGATGCAGCCTGTCAGTGCTGCCGCTCAATAACCTTTAGCATAACGAATCTATCTAAAGCTTTTGTTAGTGAGAGTGCTTGCACAGTATGGTCAAACAGGCTATTGTCGTGAAGAAGTCAAGAATGCTGGAAAACTAAATGGGGCAGCCTGGAGTCATGGTTCTCTGAGGAAAGACTCTAAGAGAGACAGAATGGTACCAAAGAAAGGTGGAGGGGCTGGTGAGGTGGCTTAGTTGGTAAAACCACTTGTTACCAAGACTAATGATCTGGCTTCAGTCCCCAGGACCCACAGGGTGGATGGAAGAGAGTTCCTACAAGTTGCCCTCTGACTTCCATGCGCACAGTGTGGCATACCTGTGCCCACACATACACACCACAAATATACGCATACATAAATTAAACAGTGCAATTAAAACATTTTTCCAAAAGAAAGAGAGAGTAGAAAGTAGGAGCATTCTGAGAGCTTCGGAGGTCAGTCAGTGACCACCACTCATGGGAACAAAGGGGCCAGCACACATGACCCACATCTAATAAAGTGTCCCTAGGAGACCCTGCCAGAGCAGCACACTCCACTGCGACTCCCAGAGGAAATGGCCACTTTGGAGATTAATCTCATTCTATAGATTTTTATGATCTAAATTTATCTCATGAGCAATTTTCGAAGCTCTAGGGAGGGACTTGCTTATGTTTTTATGTTTTTAAAACAGAATTTATTTTAACTACAAAGAAAGGCTGGCTTCCCTATCAATTAAATCTTGTTTCAATTTGTATAACTATCATTTAGGGCATTACATTAAGTGATTGAAATTTCTGCTTAAAGAAGGTCACTTTCAATTTAGTAAACATCCCTAAGTCATCATGTTAATTCCCAGCCAGTCACCCAAGAAATGCTGAGTCAGTAAACAAAATCAAGCATTAGCTAACTAGCCATGAATCCACTTGACTTTATTAATTTCTCTCTTGGCAGAGAAACAAGAAAAGGAAGCAAACCATCAGAGACATTCACGCATCATTCATTCAATAAATATTTATTATATGCCTAGTGCCAGGCACTCTGCTAAGCTAAATACAGGTTTCACTGAGTTATTAATATTCCCACCTACATTATCTATGAAGTCTTCTAAAGAGTAAGATCCTATTTTCCATAAATATACAATTTTAACTCCCAAGATGTTTTATCTTCATTTCTGACCTCATACCTTCCCCCATGGAGTGAGTTACACATCCCAGAGAGAACTTCAGACCCCATGCCTCCAAAAGACTCCTATCATCTGTGAGCAGTTATTGAGCAGAAGAAACTCAAAGAAGAAGCACTAGAAATGCACCCAATGTGTTTAAAGTTCTAGGTGAATGCAAGATAAATTATTCATATTATCACACTTGGTTTTTGTTTTTGTTTTAATATGTACATTTGGGCTTTGTTTTAAGTAGAGTACCTTACAATTGTTCAAAAAAGTCCTTAAAAATACTAATGTTCTCTCTCTCTCTCTCTCTCTCTCTCTCTCTCTCTCTCTCTCCAAATGTAGACAAGAATGTATACAACCTAGAATTATAATCTTAGAATCCTGCCTTATCAGAGAAATTCCCATTGCTTTATTACAAAAGAGGCAAACCCTCTTCCTGTCTTCTAAAAACAACTGGCACTCCTCAAAATTCAGAACTCAAGAAAATACCCACTCTGGGAGCTGATCATCAGAAAGGATGATGGGGCTGGAGACATCCCAGGTCCCCCTATGAGTTAGGGGCTCCGATCTAGCCACATCCTCTCTGACACCTCTTTGAGGAGCTGGTATGAACACTCCAAGCATGCACTGGCACACACACGCACACAGTACCCTTATACGTGTCCCCTGACACCCACATGCCCAACTCCTCCAGAGAGCAAGCTTACCTACATACACAAAACACCCCCAAACTCCCAGAAGAGCTGAGAAGCCTTTCCTTCTGCCTGGCAGTCTCCTGAGGCTGCTGACATCACAAAAGTGTCAACTGGCGACCTCATTGTCATGTGGCTCTCCCCTGGCTCCCCTTCACTTACAAAGGCAGGGGAAGGGTGAGACCTTTCAAAGCCGCCAAGTGGGCAAGCTTCCAACAGCACTCCGGACTGAGCAAGAGGCAGAGCCACCAAGCCAGCAGCAGGGCACTGGGCCTCGCGTTTCAACTTCTGTTCAGTTCTCCTGTAATGGAAAATTGCTTTGCACAAAGCTAGAGTGTTACAGTTTTTTCCAGCACCCATCCCCTGCCCTGCCCCGCCCCACCCCTCTGCAGCCTTCAGATCAGAAGGACAGCTTGTGCCCGCCCTCAGGAAGGTAGAAGGAGGAGAACTGTGGCTTCTTACTATGTCCCTTGCTTCAGGCCCTGGCCCCCAGTTGTTACTCTTTTCTCTAGGAATGGGGCTGGTATCAGGGTCCAAGTGCCCAACCAACTGTCTGTGTCAAGACCAAGAAGTATCTTGCACAGATATGCAGCTAATGGAATACCCACTTGACATTCCTCTGAACACCCGGAGGCTACTCCTGAGCAATAACAAAATTACTAGTTTACCAGCCATGCAGCTGGGATTCCTCAGTGACCTTGTTTACCTGGACTGTCAGAACAACCGGATTCGAGAGCTGATGGATTATACCTTTATCGGGGTCTTCAAACTCATCTACCTTGACCTCAGCTCCAACAACCTAACTTCCATCTCCCCATTCAGCTTCTCAGTGCTCAGCAACCTGGTGCGGCTGAACATTTCGAACAACCCTCACCTGTTGTCTCTCGACGAATACACCTTTGCCAACACCAGCTCCCTGCGGTTCCTGGACCTCCGGAACACCGGGTTGCAGATCCTGGAACATAACTCCCTGCACCAGCTGACAATACTCCAGACCCTGTATCTAAGTGGAAACCCCTGGAACTGCACCTGTGATTTCCTGGACTTCGCCATCCACTTACTACTGTCCCACACGGAGCACCCAGGTGAGGGACTGACTGGGAGTGGGGAAGGATGTGATGGAACCAGAGGACTTGGTTTCTGAAAAGGTGAGTCAAAAGATGGTTAGAATGGGAGGGAAGATGGGTGAAAATAACCAAAAGCACTGTTACTGCTTGGCCTGGCCCCTCCTTGGCTTGACTGGAGAGGCAACAAGGCTTAATAGGAAAAGTTCTAGAATGAGAATTCAGAGTTCAGACATGTCATCTACTATTTGTCTGTCTTTGGAAAAATCTCATTTCCCTGCACCTCAGTTTCCCATCCATAAAACTGGTATATATTACATAATTTGCAGAATTGTAGCCAATAAAATGTGTATGTAAATGGTTAAGTACTGTAGTTGCAATGTAACAGGGTAATTCAGGGACACTGGACTCCATTGGTAAACTGTTTGAATCTGATGAGTGCAGTGACTGAATTTTTCCAAGGTCTAAAAGAAATTCAGCCATTCAGAGGTGAGAGAGAATCCAACCAGACTGTGAGATGTGGAAGGAAAAGTTCCACAGGGAGAGCGGCATGGGAGCTCCAGGGACAGCAGAAGACAGAGGAGAGAAGGGAAGGCTTTGATTTGTTTCGAAATGCTGACCTCACAAGGAAGGAGAGAATAGCATGAATCAGAGGACAGATCACAATGCTCAGTGTCAGACTAGGGGAGTCCAGCGTTGGAGCCTTACCTGGGAGAGTTCCAATAGGTGCTGCCACTCCAGCCACTGACCCAAGCCTCTCTGCCATGGCTCCTTCAGTACCCCAACGCCTCATGTCTTCTTCCCAGGGACTCTGCTGTATCCTTCAACCTCAGGGAAGTCAGAGCTTCAGAGAAACGAGGCCCCTTACCGACAGCCCTGAGCCACTGGTGTTGTCCACTTGGTGATTCCGGGCCAAGAATGACACTGCAGAAACTGGTGGAGAGAGTCAGGATGACCACCAGTGAGAACCTGCCCTCCAGGCCTCCCAGTGGAGCCTCCCATGTCCTAGAAGGCCTTCCAGGCAGGCAGGCCACCCGAGTGAAGCAAACAGGGTTCCCGGCCAGAATGTAAGGAGGCACTGAGAATAAGCACTCGGGGTGAGTGCCTCCTTACCTTTTGTGCCATGGGCATCTGACTCTGCTAGCAAAGATTCCAGCTTGCACTGTTAGGGTAAACAAAAAGGAGCTGTGACTTTGTCAGAAATCTCCATGGCACTGAGACTGAAGACGGGAGCCAAGACAGCATCTGTCTAAGCATCTTAGATGATAGCATCTCTTCTAAGGGTCAGAGAACGTTTTGCATCCACTGGTGCTCTGTGCTTTCTACAGAGACCTCTACTAGAGAGTCAACTTCCCTGCATGGGATGGAGTTCCTAAATGGGATTGTGACTGCCAGTCCACATGTTATCTGGTGCGAAGACAAGCACCTTTCCTTGCCCATCCCCACATTCATCTGACCAAGGCCCGATAAATCTCTGCAATGGGGACAGTTTTTCCTCACATGTCTCATTTTCTTTGCTTGGATATCACACCAAACCAAATCCCCACATACACATTTTTAGAGCTCAAATGTGTTAATTAGCATTTGTTAATTACATATAATATGTTACAGTCACTCCCCCACTATGTCTCTTACCCCCCTTCCATTCCCACTAACCTTCTTCTTTCCAACTAGTCTCCCTTCTTGTTCATGTTGTGCACGCACACATATGTATATGAGTGGGAGAGAGATTGATGAGTTAGAGTTGTTCACGTGAACATAGGCAAGGTGTTATTTACAGGGATACAGGACCATGGGCCATTTACCATTGGCTACATCACTGAAGAAAATGTCGTCCCCTTCCCTGGTAACCACTAACTGCCAAAAGCTCCTCAGGAAGGGGTAAGACCTTATGAGACCCTCCTCCATTCCACCACAGAACGTTGACGGGCCCAACCTTGTACAAGTCATGTATTTGTATGATCCAGCTATACATACAAATTTCCCTTGAGTGGTGGCCACCAGGTTGCCAGGGCAACCTCCTACCCTAGCTGACTACCCCATGGCAATTTACCTTCTATTCCAGCTCCTAAGCCTACCATGCAATTCACCAAGCTTTCACCCCTCATACAATTTTCCTTAATCAAATTTCTGCTCTTACAGTTGTGTCTTCTCGGAATTTTCAGGCTGACTCCTTTGGACTCCTTGACTCATTCAATTCAATCCACAATTGAACAAGATTATAAAACAGGTCTGTTTCGCTGCATGTTTTCAAAGACAGCAGAAGGCATATCGATCTTGCCAAGCTCATAAATCTCTCATGGATAAGAGGCAGACACAGTTTTCCTCTATAGCCAGTGGGACCCACAACTGCTGATCTACTCACCCCCCTTCTGCTGTCCAGAGACTCAGAGGAGCCTTCTAGACCACTTCTTGGAGAAATATGACCCCATTGTTCCTGTTCATTGCTGATATCTCAGAAAACATGAATAGGCCAAGGCCAGATAAATCTCGGCAACAGGGACAGTTTTTCCTCACATGTCTCATTTTCTTTGCTTGGATATCACACCAAACTTTAAATAAATTCTGTGCCACTAGCCTGGGGAAGAGACTAGAATTGATATTTTTAATTCTGTCATTGGATGAGGATATAGGCTGGCTTAACCAAAATCACACCACTAATGTTTTTTAAAAAAAAAAACATAAAACAAAAAAACAAAACTGATTTCAAGTTGAGGTCTGAGCTATGCAGTTTAGGGTCAGTTGGCAAAATACCTGAGAAAATCTACTTATTTGGGCTCAGAGTTTTGAAGGTTCCATGGTCTGCTTTTGGACCTGTAGCAAAGCAATGTGTCACAGTGAGCCTGTGGCAGAGGAGGCTGCTGAAGGGACTGGGGTCCCGATATCCCCTGCAAGGGCATGCACACAGCTGCACAAGTTCCTGCAACTAGTACTCTCCTCTTAAAGGTTCCTCCACCTACTAATAACTACATGGACCAGGGAACCAACCTTTAACACACGGGCCTTCGGGAAACATTTTAGGTGAAAACTATAGCAAGGTCTTTATGAGACCGTATTATCTTTTAAATCTGAAAATCATATCTTATGGCAGGTTAGTTAAATATAACTAAACCAGTTTTACTTCATATCCGCCTACTACTTAGGACTCATAGAAGATCTTTTGTTGTTGTTGTTAACAGGCACTATCAAAAAGTAATTGTAATATTCCTTTACCTGTCCAGATTTCACATAATCTACCCAGACTCTAAAAAGAGAAGTCTACTTTAGTGTTAGCCTTCATTTGGGTCTTATTCAATCTCATATTCATCCTTTCCTTCCTCCTCATCCTCCTCTTCCCACATCTTCCTCTCACTTGCACACACATGTGTGTGTACACATACAAACAGGAGCATGAGATGGGAGGTGGTGGCACACACCTTTAATGCTAGCACTCAGAAGGCAGAGGCAGACAGATCTCTGTAAGTTCAAGGCCAGCCTGGTCTAGAAAGTGAGTTTCAGGACAGTTGGAGTTACACAGAGAAACCCTGTCTCGAAAAACAAAAACAAAAAAACAAAACAAAACAAAAAAATGAACATACATGTATGTAAATACACATAAAAACACATGAACACATACACAAACACAAAGGTAGGTATCACCATAAGTGTGTGTGCCTATAAATTACACCTAAATACCATACACACATGTATAAATGCACATGTATCCACTTATGCACACAAACATACACCAAACTGAACACACAGTAAAATTCATTAGATGTTTCTCACCCTCTAACTAGACTTTAATGCAAAGGAAGCATTATTTCACTGACTCTCCTATAATTATTCTATGGGGTGGAAATACCTTTGCTATAGACAAACATTCTTGGGGAACTCTCATTTGCAAACTCTCCTACTTATATCCTACATTTGCTGTCAAAATGGGGAGCTTGACATGTTCTAGAATGGAACCCACACTTCTCCCCCAGATAGCCACAGTTCAGGACACAGAAAGAATTTCAAGGACATAAGCAAAGTAGCCTGGTCGCAAAGGAGACTCCAGTTGTAAATAGGTTCTGTTGACGCGAGGAGTCACCATCCTTTAGCATTAGTATGGTCCCTGTAGTGCAGTATTAAGGGCAGTATGCCGTTGCTGTGACAGTCTACCTGTCCCTGATAAAGCAAGAAGTGAGGGGCTGGAAATAGGTCTCAGTAGGTAAGATCACTTGTTCTTGCAGAAGACCTGGGTTCAGTCCCTAGCTCCCCACACTCACAATAAAAGCTAACCACTGTCTGTAACTCCAGTTCTGCGGGATCTGACACACTCTTTTGATCTCTGCAGGCACTGCATGCATGTGGTGTACTTACAATACATGCAGACAAACAACCCACTCATACCCATAAAATAAAAGTAAACAAATTTTTTAAAGAGCAGTGAAGTAACAGATTTCTATGCTACTGTTTAGTTCATCTGTTCATCCCTTCAAATGTATTTTGAGTGACTCCCATTACTGAACAATTGCCAATGGGTATAACTAAGCCAGGCTCAGAGGGGCTGTATTCAGAGACTCATGTGACTCTAGGAGATCAGCCCCATCATTATGTGCCCCAAAGTCTGGGGCACAGCAGAGCTAAATAAAACTGGAGCCAGTATATGCCTAGACACACACTTATATCAATCTTGGCTACAAGTCATGGACAGCCACCATGCAGACAACAGAGCCCAGTGCTAAGAGCTCAGGTTCTAAAGAGAAATAGACGGGTTATGATCCTAGCATATCGACACTTACTATCGATAAGGTATCAGATAAGTCATTTAATCTCTCTGTGGTGATATATCTGACCTTTGATTTATTTCCTCATCTTTAAGACATGGGTAATAATAAAAGCAACCTACCTAGGACTGTCATAATGATGAAATAAGAACATTTACAAACAGCGATTAGCATTAAGGTTGACACTTTATAAGCATTTTGTAAACAACTAGTTGGTAGATATGAGATATGCACAATAGTGTAGAGAAAATGTCAGCCAAGTGGTTC